AAGGTGTTCTCCCCTTTCAATTCCGTTCAAAGTAGACAGAGATATAATTTCATTCTGGAAATCGTTCCTATGCATAGAGGAGCTCAAGACAAGAGAACGGCCCACGCCATTGCAAAAATTCCAAAGCTATTCTGGCCCTTATTCTACTATACCTAACTGTACCTGGTTCCAAACATGGCGCCTCCTCTCGACTTATCCCATCATTATGCATCCACCACCAAACGACGCGAGGGGAGCGGCATCAAAGACCTATATAAGTACTTCTTCATCCCGGGTATTGCGAACCTGGCTGGTGGTATGCACGGACGATAGTCACCCGGCTCTGGATGTTGTTGACATTCACTAACCCCGGTCGTCACCTATCATTAGGCTTACCAAATCCCTCGTACTTCCCATACGATACCCTCGAGGCAACCGTCGCCACACCCCAGCGTTTCCAACCTTTCAGTAATGGCACAACCAAGAAATCTCGAGATGACGCTCAGTCATCGATGCGACTGATCGTTCCCAAAGAGAGCCACGCAACGGATGTACAGAATAGAATTGACGTCGCCACTGCCTTGCAGTATGTCACAGCTGAAGGTCTTCCTCCTATGGCCTCATTTGTTCGCCAATTCGCTCGTCGCCATCTTCATCCCAATGTTCCATATGCTGGAGGCCCCGAAACCATCCTCACCACCGGAGCGACCGATGGCTTCTCAAAATCAATCGAAGTATTCACGAATGTCTGGAACCCAGAGAGAGACTGGACCAGTCAGCGCGAGGGCATTCTTTGTGAGGAATTTGTATATATGAATGCTGTTGCAACCGTCAAGCCCAGAGGTCTCAACGTCGTACCGGTCGTCATCGATGCACAGGGAATGTTGGCACGCGGTAAAGGAGGATTGGCCGATGTTCTCGAAAACTGGGATTTCCGAAGAGGCCGTCGCCCGCATTTAATGTACACCATCACGTAAGTTGGCGGGTGATGAGGTCTTCTCCAATGAGTATAGTTCTATTTTTGGTGGATGTCACAGCTGACATCTTTGCTTCTTTTCCAATGCAGGATTGGCCAGAATCCCACAGGCGGCACCTTATCCGTCGAGCGTAAAAAAGAAATATACGCACTCTGTCATTTATACGATATCATCATAATCGAGGACGATCCTTACTGGAATCTGCAGTACCCATCGGCGGCCGCTTTGGAAGCCCAGCATCGAGGCATGCCCCTAGATACAGCTTCGGTAAAGCGCAATTACAATGCACATGGGAAGCCCTCTGGGTATGAATTCCTGGACTCGTTGGTTCCATCTTATTTGTCCTTGGACACTGATGGGCGTGTTGTGCGTCTCGACACTTTCTCCAAGACTATCGCCCCTGGTTGTCGCTTGGGTTGGGTAACCGCACAACCGGCCGTGATCGAGAGGTTGGCTCGGGTCACCGAAACCGCAACGCAAGCACCTTCGGGCTTTGTTCAAGCCCTGGTAGCCAAACTGATTCTGGGTCAACAGCCAGATAACAAGTCTACCAACTCGAGCAAGAGCGATCGTAGCTGGCAAATGGATGGCTGGGTCCGTTGGCTGGAGGGTTTGCGTGGTGGATATGAACGACGCATGCAAGACATGTGCAGCACTCTAGAGGAGGGTAGATACTTTATTGCCACGGACACCGGCCTTGAATCCAGCGAAGAAAGCTGGGAAGTCGTAGATAAGGTACAGATGTACGACTTTTCTTGGCCCACCGGCGGTATGTTCGTCTGGATTAAGCTCCGTCTCGACACCCATCCCCTGCAAGGAAGATACGATCCAGCCAGGCTTTCCAAGGCATTGTGGGCACATCTGACGCAGAAACCGTACCTCTGTCTTCTAGGCCCGGGAGAATTATTTGCTCCCTCGCAGGAGACCTTGGATCGTTCTTGGCAGTATTACCGACTATGCTTTGCGGCTATGCCTGAAGCTGACGTGAAGGGCATCACGACGAGATTGGTGGATGGGTTCCGGGCGTTCTGGAAGCGGACAGATTTAGATGGTCTCGAGGGAGACGGTGAAGATCTGTCGCAGGTGGTCCGGAACATGGAAATGGAGCGCGTAGGGAATTTCTTGGGGAGTGGATGTTAGAAAGATTACGTTTGCTTTTAAAGTCTTGTACAGATGTGCTTATCGGAGCCCGGATTGACCAGAATATATATTTTGTTATCAAAAGCATATAAATTATAGAACAACCACAAAATTACCTAGATTACTAAAGACATATAGTCAATACTATACCACTCATAGATAGACTAAGTTTAATTAATTTGCTACCCTTTTCCATTTATTTATTAGTACCACTGAAGGAAGAGCGTCCCAAGACCAGCAGCAGTTGATCAGAATCCAGTAGCAAGCCTCTTCGCAGAGCGCCTCCCTCATCAAGTAGGCGGTCTATAGATTTTAACACCCCAAACAGCCCGACCGTGAAAAGGGTCTTTTCATGCTGTAAACTGCGATACTGATATGTTCGCTATAAAGACCTTTCTATATATAATATTTATCTAGAAGAATATTTATTTAACGAACTATTTAGACAAGATTTTTTGTTCGAAAAATAATCGCTTTTGGCAAAACAGTAGACCCAAGAGCCTGGCCATGCCAAAGATACAGTATCCGACAAGGCAGTTCAAAAAAGTGGTCAAGTGATTTTGCCAGAGAATTATGGCGTCACGCGCATTGAATCGGCCATCATGCCGAAGCCCACATTAGTCAGCCCATATTATTAGCACGCATTAAATGCACTGTACAAAAAATAGCGATGACATCGGCGGGGAACTAATCTCCTGGACAAACTGAAGTCGCAGTCTACACGGCACCACACTCAATGTCCAAAAATGTCGGCCCAACTCGAATCCCTCGGCAACAATGAATTGACCGAAGAAATAGAAGCGATCAATGCCATCTACGAGCCCGATACCGTTACGATCAACAGCACTGCGGCTTCGTCGTCCACAGCTAACTCTACGCTTGATTTGGGCAATTCTAGTTCAACGGGTCCGCTGGTCGCGACAGTGAAGCTACAGATTCCCGAACATCCGCATCTATCGTTTATACTTGGGTTCGATGCCTCATACCCCGACACAGCGCCCAAGGTCCTCGGGACCGCATCTACGGCGTCGCGCGGGGAGGGTAAAGTTGCTGTCGATGTTTTGGAGGATATACTAGGGAGAACGTACCAGCCTGGCGCTGTTTGCTTGTTCGATGTGATTAATGAGGCGGTGGAGGCTTTCGGGGAGTTGAATCTCGGGGGAAGCAACAACAGCAACGCGAATGTCAAAGAGCACGAGGACGAGACGGACACGCCGGACCTGAAGGCTGAGGATATTGCCAGCTTGTCACTGAAGGAGTCTTTTGGACTGGACAATCCACCCGACTGGATATTGTCGGATGTGGTGACGGAGAAAAAGTCTGTCTTTGTTGGGCGCGCGGCGCATGTCACTAGTCTTGAGCAGGCCCAGGCTTATTTGGATTATCTCCTGGCGACAGAGAAGAAGGTGGCAGCTGCGACGCATAATATCAGCGCTTGGCGCATTAGGCAACAAAAACCATCGAATGCAAAGGGCGAGTCTGCGGAGATGATTGTACAGGATTGCGATGATGACGGGGAGACAGCTGCCGGGGGCCGATTACTTCATCTCATGCAGCTGATGGACGTATGGGATGTGGTCGTGGTAGTCACACGATGGTATGGCGGAGTCTTGCTGGGCCCCGATCGGTTTCGCATTATCAATGCTGTCGGTCGTGATGCGCTGATGAAGGGTGGGTTCGTCAAGGAGTCGACCCCTGCAGGTAACGAGAAGGGGAAGAAGAAAGGAAAGAAATGAGCTCAGGGTTTGGAGTGGACCATGGCCGAATGAGCTTGCTCGTCGACTGCCGGCTGATCCGTTCCATGGCGTGAACCTACTCGTCGCATCTCCCGATTCCCCTCAAAGGCTCATCTCGATGATCTTGGCATTTGTGAGGTAGTATCGGACCCGTCAGTTGGTATGCTTGGGCCACCGTATGCTACGTTCCCCAAGAGGTAGGTGCTCAACCACTGTCAGTCAAGTACTGGAAGGATTTTCTCATTACCAATAAGAGAGGATCGAGAACCTTCCGGGAGATGAAGGTGGATACATCAATTTCGCATCAGATTAAACTCAACAGCAAGAGAAGATGTTGCCTGGAGAGGGGATAGTGACTCGGACCCTGAGCCCCAGTCCAATAGATCGTACCATAGAACAAAGATACCCGAAAGGATGTAACTGAACAGCGACTAAAGGGCTTTATCCATTATCAATAACCTGCTATACAAAAGCTTTCATCCACGGCGAAGATAATAGTCAATGATAAACTGATCACGCCCTCACTGCCTTGGTTTCTCAAATGTTTAACTCACTACTATATCCAGCACGTCAAATCCAAAAAATGACATCCGTACTCCACACTCTGAAACAATACCGTGACACACACACACACACATATATATATAGCATGACGTCGAATAGTCCAATACTACGTTAGACAGAGCAGTGGGTAAGAAAAAGCTAATGTAATAGATTCAGGAACGAAATTAACTGGTCCACCGCTACATTCTAGAAGGTCAAAGCCAAGTGCAACCTTCCAGGGTTCCCATTACTAGAACTGTCTCGGCGAGAGCCCGGCCAGGGCAGGAGAACACTCGGTTGGAGGGACCAATATGAGATATCCGTTTCAGATCGCGATATGTTTTATCTGGTTTACATAATGGATGGAGGCATCGGCCCATCGTTGGGTAATTCGGATGATCCTTGAGCTAATTTCTGCAATCAAAGCTTGGTATGCAAGTTGGATGTGTTTCTGTACTATTGGTAGCGGTGACTACTGTAGCCGCCCGGTTCCTTGACGGTTGTTCCTCATGAACTCCATGTGGTGGAGGCAAATGTAAGAGGTGTTGGGTTGGGACTTGGTCGAACGGCGGCTGCAGAACCAATTGAATGGCCGGGGAAGCTGCAGTGCCCCGTGTGACTAGAGTCTAAACCAAGTTGGTATGTACATGCGCCAGAGATAAGATCGAGTTAGTGTAGGACTATGAGTTGTACAAATCGACAACTTTCGGTCCACAAGACATGAATCTAATTAGATTGTTTAAGTCTGTAGACGAGGTCGCACTAGTAGATACAATCTCATGGTGAGAATCGTCGGACTAGCTCGGATGACTTGGGAGAAGAAGAGCGAAAAGAAAAGAAGAGAACAAATACCGATCGCGAATGAAAATTAAACCCAATACTACCTTAATATCGAAATACCTTATTGGAGAGTTACAAACGACCATTCGGCAAATCATACTGCTACCCGAGGCCACAAATTTATCTGAAACACGTATCAACGGGAAGATCTCATTTGGTCTTTCCCCTCCGTAAAGGAACTTCTAAGCGACATTAAGAAAGTGGGTACGGGACCAAGAGCAGGGAAATTTATACCCTGGAATCTAATATATCAGGGACCATTATACATAACATATTACATATCAATTTGGCGCCAACGATGAGTATATCCAAAGGTCTGATACTTAAGAAATTGATTGATGTTACTCCACAAGACGTAATGTCCCAAACTCGGCGTTGTATTGGTACGGAACTGGAGATCTGGACCCTGAACCATGGAAAACGAGAACTGAACCTGAGGAGAGAAGAGGAGGCTGGATATTGCGTCCAAAGCTACTAAGAACAATAGTGTTCGTTTAAACTTCGAACCTCCTTGAGTCCCAACCGCATCGATTGAATTCCTATTTTGAAGTCAACTGACTAAGGCGGAGATTCTGCCTATTTGAGACAACGGTACTATGTTTGTACGCGCAGCTCATGTCTCTGTTGCCTCTGCAGGTCCTTGCCTGGTTCCTAAGTATAACCCAACATTTTTGCCACATGCATGTGCGTAGAGCGCTAAACGGCGCAATGAGAACACATAAAAAAAAAAGAAGGGGGAAAAAAATAGCAGCGGAGAATTTTAACTTACAGCCTGTTTTTTATTTGGACGACGTAGCCTGCAGTATGGATGGAGTCCGACGGGGGCCCCATTCCCGGCCATCATTAACAACCAGATTCTATACATACGGAATACCGCAGACGTACTTGAGGTGTGAAAATGGAGACATTCTCGTATCATAGTCTACGAGTCAAAACGATTCAGCGTCCTTGACTGGTCAACGTTCAGCGTCTATCAGACATCAGGTCTTATTCCGTTTGCCCCACGTTTAGCGGTCAACTCCGTGTCTTTCACTCTTTGTCTAAAGAGAGTTTTATTTTTCAGTTTTTTTTTCTTTTCTTTTCTTTTCGTTTTTTTTCCTCCTCCTGCCGGTCGGGTCGATGATCAACGGAGTCGGATTACAGTGTGAGATCCCGTGTTCTGTACTTCGACGTAATGTGGCGTGGTGGGCAATGAGGACATCCACGTATGTGTATTGTACTATTGTTCCCACTGCCACGCCACTAGGGTATTGGTTCAGTTATGAGTTCATTCCAACACGAAGATGAAAGGAAAGGAAACGAAATTAAATCTCGTTCGACCATCTGATAGTATGTACAAGTAGATTGTTCTGGGAGTATTGTTAGTAATATTATTAGGGAATGAGATGAGGTTATCCGGCAACGATGTAACTCAGCAATTTTATTCTGAGGGGATCGATAATACATCGGCTGTGATTTCCACCCGCTATGAAATTTGGATAGTTTTGTTAAGCCTCCCCATAGATTGTGGCAATGCCTATTGATTGGCGGCAGATCCGCTGAGGGCGGCCCCATATTGCCATCCAAGGCGCCAACCGAGTCTCCAATCTTAGGCGGTAGCTGGTCAGGAACCGAGCACTCGGGCGGATGGTGTGACACCAAAGCCCCTCCCCGGGTCCAGGGGCTAATTTCCTGTTGGATGCAGCCGTCAACACTAATGCAGGACTAGAAGGAATTTCATGGCTGGGCGCCTTGCTTGATCCCTCATGACTGGCAGTTCACAACAAGGTCGTCGTAAGTAACTCACCGTAGCATATGTATGGTCAATTTCATGAAAAAAAAAAACCAATGGGTTACATTTTCTCCAGCTACCATAGTTACATACTTACAATACAGATACTTCGACTATTCCTACTACTACTAAGGTACCTCACTACTACTACTACTACTACTACTAGTACTTACTACGAGTATCCCGAAAGGGCTGCATCCACGGACCCTCAGTGGCTGCAGGGCGTTGCAGCCCCAGCAAGCCACTCAGGCGCAATGATCAACCTTTTTTCCTTTTTTTTTTTTTTTTATTGACCCTTCTGGTGAACTCTGTTGCATCTTTCAGCAGTGATGGATCAATGAAGGGTCCCACTCACTAAATGTTTCACAATTGTTCAGAACCCTTCAACAGAGGCTCGCGTTTGGCATGTTCAGAGTTTGTGATTCAACGCTTGTCACCCCACCTCTCCTAAACCCTCCACGGCAATTCGCACGACCACTGGTGACGATGCTTGGTCGAAGTGTCTAAAAACTATATATTCCCCCTCCCTACACTACCGGCTTTTGTCTCTTCTCTCTCTTTCGCTTATCACGCTGGTGCGATTCAATCCTTTTACAGTTCATCTGTTCGACAGTTCTACAGGCTAGTTCCTGTTTGCTTTCTTCATTCCTTTTTGATTCTTGGTCTCTTGCCTGTGGCAGTTACCAGACATTCCTTTTTTTCGGACAAACGCCATTGTACTACGTGTGACAAAAGTAGCGCCCTCGCTCATCTTTATTATACGGACAATCGTCTCTCGATCAAGAAAGTCATTGTTCTCTCCAGTCTTTAACAAAACAGGCATTGTTACTCGGCCCTGCTTCTACTTAAAAGGTATGGCCAATTCGTGCTATAGTGTTTCCTATATCCCTTATTCGAGACTATTTTGAGTTGATGGAACTTCACTGTGTTACTATCTCTTGTGTTGGTCAACTCGTCAAGGATCCGCTCTATATAACAGCTCGTCATCTCCGTGCTTTACGATCTCATCTAACATGATCACCTTCCAGACTCTTTCGCACGACTACATCCAAGGTCTTGTCCCACGGTTCTGATTCGTCCGGTACGATCAGAATCTCCAGCCATTCTTTCAGCTGTCAAACAGTCGAATCTATAGCACCGACGTTCCTTCAAAGATCAAAATGTTCAGCAAGGCTTTCCTTACCGCTGCTCTGCTCGGCGCCGCTGCCGTTGAGGGCCACATGATGATGTCGCAGCCCGTTCCTTACGGCAAGGACACTCTCAACAACTCTCCGCTTGCGGCGGATGGCAGTGATTTTCCCTGCAAGATGAGGTCCAACACTTACGAGGTCTCCGAAGAGAACACTGCCGCCATCGGCCAATCGATGCCTCTCACTTTCATTGGTAGTGCTGTTCACGGCGGCGGATCTTGCCAGGTCAGCTTGACCACTGACCGTGAGCCCACGAAGGACTCCAAGTGGATGGTCATCAAGTCGATCGAAGGTGGATGTCCCGCCAACGTGGATGGTAACCTTTCTGGTGGCCCCACCTCGACGGGAGCGTCCAAGTTCACTTACTCCATCCCTGAAGGCATTGAGCCTGGCAAATACACCCTCGCCTGGACTTGGTTCAACCGTATCGGAAACCGTGAGATGTACATGAACTGTGCTCCTCTTACCGTCACCGGTGGTTCTTCCAAGCGTGACGAAGTTCCCAAGGAGAAGACCGTCGAGAAGCGCTCTCCTAACTTCCCTCCCATGTTCGTCGCCAATGTCAACGGCTGCACCACCAAGGAAAGTGTCGATATTCGTTTCCCCAACCCCGGTGACAACGTTGAGTACGCTGGTGAGAAGAGCAACCTGGCGCCTGAGGGCAGCGAGGCCTGCACTGGCACCCCGACATTCGGTGGAGATGGCAACACCGCCGGTTCTAGTGGCTCTTCTGGCAGCTCTTCTGGAAGCTCTTCTGGCAGCTCCAGCTCTTCGGCTGCCGGCTCCTCCGGTGCTACCTCTGCCCCTGCGCCTCCTGCACCAGTAGCTTCCTCGACTTTGGTTCCCCAGCCTTCCCAGTCCTCTGCTCCTGGTGTCTTTGTCCCTACTGACTCGCCCGCCCAGCCTACCCACACCAGCGCCCCTTCGGGTGGCTCTAGCTCCGGCTCTGGTTCAAGCTCTGGTTCAAGCTCTGGTTCCAGCTCTGGTGCTCTGACCGGATCTTGCAGCTCGGAGGGTACTTGGAACTGCGTTGGTGGTTCTTCCTTCCAGCGCTGTGCCAACGGACTGTGGACCCCGGTGCAGCAGATGGCCGCTGGTACTGAATGTACTGCTGGCCAGGACACGAACCTCAAGATCAAGGCTACCAACCTCAAGCCCCGCATGCTCCATGAGATGCGTCACAGGAAGCGCAACTACCACAACCACGCATAAAGAGATTCTGATATCCGCCGGTTCGGTTATCGGGGTTCCTTTTTGATTTCTCTTCGTTTTCCTTGCAGTGGCGTGGACGCTTGTGGGGGAGCCTTTCTGGGGTGGATTTTCTTCAATTGTATTTACTTTCCAGGGTAGATGAAAAGAAGGTTAGGACTGGAGACCTTCCTTGAATAGAAAGCTTTGATCATCATATTCAGTTGGCACATAACGTACTGGTAGTTTGAATGTGAGACTTAGTGTCTTTGTAACACCAATATCTGTAATCCACATGGACTTGAACTATTATCATCTCTAGAGTGCCACGTATCTTAATAAGGGTGGTGCAACGGGCACCGCATGGTGTTTTGGATGTTTTGAACATGAAGCTTTTCGCGACGTACGCAATTACCGTAGAGCTAGTATATAGCAAGACACTCTCAGATGGGCCAAGTAGCCCACCGATCTTGGACACTACACAGTACTCTCCATACTATATCCATTCCAAAGAAAATGCAACAGGTAGGTTCGCACTAGTATGGTTTGACTTGAAGGCACGCTTGGGACATATTGAATGAGCTCATATTCCCGTGGGTATGTCCATACGTACATCGGATCGGAGAAATATACTATTCTAACAGTATCTGAACATGTGATGAGCTGCTGGAAATAGATCATTGGGTTTTGTTTTAGTAACACAGATAAAGCAATATCAACGAGATCTCATCGACGTATCATTTTGCTGGATATTCTGGTGTTCGGGGAGCGTGTTACTTCACCGCCCAGGTGGTTGGTGTACATACCAAACTTTACAGACTGGAAGCAATGTTTATTTCCCCAGTTGTCAGTGATGTTGTAGGGTAACTATAACTAGCATAAGTAATTAGTCAGCATCGGCGGTGAATAACAACACTGATGGACTTGATGTGGTTGCGAGCATGACTATGCAATTGTTTGAGAAACTGCTCTAATAATACAATATCATTTGGGATACAAACGAAAGAAGAATGACTGAAATCATATAGTACCGCCAACATAGCCAGCACCGCTATGTACAGTACTCATACGGTGTTTGGTCCAACGTGGCAGTCAACCTGAGTCGGCCAAGTCAGAAGCGACCCGCCCAAAAGCGGTAACCAGGGCTTAGGGTTTCTCTGGAGCCCACCACCCGTGCCGGGGACTAAGCGAAAATTTCCTCAGCCCATTGGGAGGATACTCGATCTTCAACCTCGAACGACGACAACGACCACCTCACCGTCGACAACAATGGCGTCTCGTCCTACCGTCACTATCGCCACGGCTGAAGGCAAGCCCAGCGGGGCCACTGCCCCCCTGCCCGCCGTTTTCAACGCGCCCATCCGTCTTGATGTTGTCCAGTATGTTCGATGAGTTTACGCCGCGATTTGGAGGGGGATCGGAGGATGGCTGACGGCTTCATTATAGGCAGGTTCACACCGGCATGGCCAAGAACAAGAGACAGCCTTATGCCGTGAGCGAGAAGGCTGGTGAACAGACTTCTGCTGAGTCCTGGGGTACCGGTATGTGAAATTGGATCGCGAAATTGGAAGCAGAATTGCACAGTCAAGGAATTGGGTCGCTGAACAGAATTTTTCGATCAGGTCGTGCTGTCGCTCGTATCCCTCGTGTCTCTGGTGGTGGTACTCACCGTGCTGGTCAGGCTGCCTTCGGTAACCAGTGCCGCTCTGGTCGTATGTTCGCTCCTACCAAGGTCTGGCGCAAGTGGCACCAGAAGCTCAACCTGAACCAGAAGTATGGCATTCAACGATGAAAGTTTGGCATTGAGATTGTACATGATATTAACATGATGATAGGCGCTTCGCTACCGCTTCTGCTCTTGCTGCTTCTTCCGTCCCTGCCCTCCTCTTCGCCCGCGGTCACCGTGTTGCCAACGTTCCCGAGGTTCCCCTCGTCGTTGAGTCCAAGACCTTCGAGAACGCCGCTCTCACCAAGACCAAGGCTGCCGTCACCCTCCTGAAGGCTCTCGGTGCCGGTGACGACCTCGTCAAGGTCGCCAAGTCCCGCAAGATGCGTGCCGGTAAGGGTAAGCTCAGGAACCGCCGCTTCCGCCAGCGCCGCGGTCCTCTCGTTGTCTACAACCCCGAGGTCGATGGCAAGGAGCTCGTCCGTGCTTTCCGCAACATCCCCGGTGTTGAGACCTCCCCCGTCTTCGCCCTCAACCTCCTCCAGCTCGCCCCTGGTGGTCACCTCGGTCGCTTCGTTGTCTGGACCTCCTCCGCTTTCGAGGCCCTCGACCAGGTCTTCGGCTCTGGCTCCGCCCCTGCCGCCCTCAAGAAGGACTACCTCCTTCCCCAGAACGTTGTCGCCAACGCTGATCTGGCCCGCCTCATCAACTCTTCTGAAATCCAGTCCGTCCTCCGCGCCCCCAAGGGCGAGGCTCGCACCAAGCGCGCCAACGTTCAGAAGAAGAACCCTCTCCGCAACAAGCAGGTTATGCTCCGTCTTAACCCCTACGCTGCTGCCTTCTCTAAGGAGAAGCTTGGCCAGAAGGCTGTTGAGGGTGAGAAGCCTGCTGGTCCTTCCAAGGAGTTCCTCAGCACTCTTCACGAGAACTAAAAGGGTGATTCGGTTTTGTGTTTGATATGATTTACTTCGGTTAAAAGGTAGCACAGCAAATGAATACGGATTTGCAATACCCATGAATACTTCTAACGATAATGTATGAATACACTGTGCCAATGTAGTGCTCTTTGACTGAAGTAAACTTGCTTTCTCTTGTACCTTGACAACGTACGCTATCCTACGACATCTCGAGTGACACTACATGATAAAAGAGTCGTGAGACTTTTCTCACCTATGCTGCACGATAGCATCGCCCATGAAGAAGCAATCACACTTTATACACCGCCGGACACACAACTTACTATTCACATCATATTTCACTAAGGTCCATTAGCATGTTGAAACTCTTATACCCAATGCTTGTCCAACCACGAATCAAGTCCTTAAGTCAAGTAGATACCATGCCAGCACTGCCTCTACTCCCCATACCTTTGTATATCATAGCAACAATCCAAAGATACACCATGGACTGGACTAAACCATTCATGCCAATCTATCACCCCATTGACCCTAAATCGCTCCTGGATATCCCACAAGACATTAACACCGCTCGCTAACCAACAGGATACCCCATATAACTGGAAAACCATCAATCATTCACTCGTCTCTTACCAGAGGGAATAAACCACATTCTCCCAATTCCATCTATATAACGGCACTCTATCACGCATCAAAGGACAGAGCCCAGGATAAGCGATAGTAAATGGTACCACCGAGTAGGGTTTAATTATATCGAGAATCTTTGGTTCTGATAATGGCCTAAATGATGATCCTTTCTTTCTCGGCGAGATTGATATAAGAATGATGAACTTCTGGTGCCTGATTTACTTTGCACTAATGTCGACTGTCCCAGGTTGGTGATGACCCTTTTCTGGGTTGGGGGTACATGCTGGTAGTTGTTATGTTGGAGTAATACTTTATTGTACTGTTCTGTTCTGTTAAATTGACTCTGTCTGGGGTATTCAGTGGCGGTGTGTTACATGGATTACAGAGGCAATGGGGGAGGAGGGGAAATGGAGAGAGAAAGATGGAGGTGTGGAGGGGGGGGAAAATAACAGAGAAGACTAGGTGTTAGGCTTAAAGTATCCAAGGTGTGTACGAGCTTAGTGCTATATGGTATTAAGGTCGACTGGTATTGAGACAAGGAGAAGAAAGCACTGATCGCTCTCATACCCTCGATCGACATAAGGATTGGTTTGATTGGTCTCAGAACTTGGATGACTGGAAACCGTGACACGATCCTGCATATTGGAATCTGTGTATATATCACTCCCAGTGAGGGAAATGACAAATAGAAGCGAGACTGAAGTTCTAAGAAATGAGATGAGTGTTGTGAAGAAGAGAGAGCCAGGAACGGTCTAACAAATCGGAGAATTTAACGCCTACACCTCATGACCAGATCGAGTGTAAATGATCGTAAGATAACTCAGCCGTCATATCTAGCTAGAACCGAGCGATGCCTCTACGGCTCTACAGAAGTTTCCTCCACAAAGTACGTAATGATAGGCGGACTAACTACAGACTAGAGACTCGGCTCTCGGCATTTTTGGCTTGATTCGGACATCAGTACGGCAGATAGGAAAACCTTCTAGGCATACGGTAGCTCATTAGTGACGCATGGAGAGAGGGTGGTTATGTAGCTGTTGAGGTGGTTAATTGGAATTACTGGTCGAACGATGGGGCAATTGCATGGAAACAGTTGAGGGATCATCTCTCGGGGGTGCTCGGTCGAATGCATGGTGTGAAGTGTTTTGTCCTTGATTTTACCTCTTGCATGATTTGTGGGGTTATATTGGTATGTTGTGACGACTTGGGAGGGCATCTTCTCCGGGATACCTGCAATTTCAATATAAGATATTTGTCGGAGTACCTAGCTTGCTGGATGTAATTCTATAGCATTATTGTTTTGGATATTATAGAGGGTAGGGTATAAACCCGGAATGAGGGCGTTTTCATAGTGGTTGAACGCGAAAAGTCACACGTGCTCTTGTTATACATGATATCCTTGAGGTTTCATAGTATAAAATTCACGCTGAAGAATCTTATCTGCTCGGGGAAAAACCATAACCTGGTGGCGATTCTATAGAGAGAGCCTGGTCATACGTGAGGTGAAAATTTGGTGGGCCTACTGTGGATACGCTACCTTCACACAGACGTGTCCAATTTCTTGACATGGTATTGGCGGGTACTGTACTCCGTATTGCCATAAACACAAGATATATGATTACATGTCAACTTGTGAGTTAGTTTTTCAGAGTAGCTTATCCCATGTCTAGGTACTAGTGCCTTTCTATATAGTTTCCGAGATATCCATTGAACGAATCAGCGAGGTGAACAACCGAGGGCTTTCGTCCAAAGTGACTGCAAGAATAACACGCTACGTGAACTATCGAAGAGAACCTGCCTCTTAGCCCATGGTTGACTGTATACAGTGGTGGGGTATATGGGAGGATGATGATAGGCTCGAGGGCTGTTAAAGCTTTGGGGGACGAAAAGAGGGAGGCTGAGCGTTAGCCCATCCCACTTTATCTTTCGGCTTCCAACTACCAGGCTTGCCTCTCATAGCCCAAATCTACTTAAATTGAAACAAGAGCATGCTCGTATACATTAGGTTAATTGTTTCTAGGAAAGCTCCGATTGGATGCTGCTGGTCATATAGATGAACAAGAAACTCATATATTGATAGAAGCACTTGGATATTGTATGGACCCTCTGCTGGTACCTCACGGAGAAACACATTGATATTCCCCACATAGACGAATATCAGCGCAATTTGTCGCAATTCGCCTACCCTCTCTTCTTTTGGACGCCTGGCAGTAGGGAGTCGGTCCCCATACCGGGCCACCTGTCCTGGAGTGAGTTGAACACAGCACGCTATACGTAATCATATCGATAAGGGGCTCGTTAGCTGCCGCGGCGTTGCATCGACGACAGATCAGTGTATACTTGGAACCTTATGTGCGTGTGGGCTAAAAGGTTGATATATACCCATGCTCGCCTACAACGACCATCCTTGAAGGAATCGGAGCGTCCATCGGGGGCAAACATCTGGTTAATATGTAATGGGACCTGGGTTTGGGCTGGTGCTTTTGTAGACTGACTCCGTTTGGCTCGGGTAAATTGGTGTCTTGGGTTAATATATTAATTGCGTAAGATATTATACTCGGTGAACAGGTTTCTATGTCGTCGTTCCATCGTGGTTATTTTTGATCCTTGGTGGTTATTTATTAATATCAGGGTGTAGTTATTTATTTCTTTTCCCATTACTCGGTAATCTGGTAGGATCAGTTACCGGGTTATTTGCATGTGCGTCGACCTGCCCTAAAGGAGTCTAGACATGTTACTAGTACCTTTCCTACTAATTAGTATATATTCATACATTCCATTAGTTGATAGATTTTAATCTTTTTCTTTTCTTTTCTTTTCTTATTTTTAATTTCCTAAAAAAAAATAAATACATAAAATAACAAGAAATCGGCATTTCGACCAAACGGCATTAAGAAAGTCAATACTAATTGTTAGCCTCCCAAAGCTCACGGACTTCATATACTAATGCCAAGACAGTCTCTCCGTATCGTACGAAGAGATCAGCGGTGCGAACGTGGCTGATCCACTTTTCTTTTTTATTTCCCTTGAGTAAAAAAAAAAAAAAAGCTCAGTATCATATGAAAGTCACGAGCCCCAGTCTCTCTAAATATTTTCCTAGTTGGTTCCTGTGCCAGTGACTATTCACCACGTAGGTTGTAACCATGAAAAGTAAGGGAGTCCGTGCAAGAACTTAATAAAAGACGGAGCATCGGTGCAGATAGCTTTCCGTCCTTCCAGATATGATCGTCCGCACGGGAGGAAAAAAGCAATGACATTAGGGAGTATTCACACGGTGCGGAAGTGCGGAATCGTATTTCCTCGCTTGGTTACTCAACAGATACTAACAGTTCCATGGATCATAATGGATTTTACCAATGAACAAAAATCAAATAAAAAAAAGATAGTAAGACAAATACTTCTCCAGAAGTTTATAAATGTAAACGAATTTGGATTGATTTCCTGTCGTCTTATTTTTGAAGAAATTTTGGTTTTGTTACTTTATTTTTGGATTTTTTCGGTTAGCCTTTAAATAGCAGCGGACGAACCGCGACCACATACATAAGTTCCTACGATTAACTTTGAACCCGCCCGTCCTCTGCGGCGCCCCCCAGGCTTTACTAAATCTGGTTATTAGTCGTCAAAAAACGCTAGTCTGTTCCGGAACGAATTCAGGGTTCAGGTTAGCTAACCTTTTGCCTAGACTAAAGTAGTTCTTTAACTATCTGCTGTCACTTACGTTTCCCATTGTCCCATGCGCATGCTCCCTGATAGCCGAGGTGATATCATACTAGTAGTAGTGGACATCCCATCAATTCATTCATTCATTCATACATACATACATACATACATACATACATACATACATACATACATACATACATAGTACTGTACATACGTACCTGTACTTTATTATATTACCCTGGTCTCTTTCCCATTTCCCCCTCTTACCCCCCTCCTTTTTCAGTCGCCTTTCCGACTGATGTTGTATCCCATCCATCTTGTCTCCATAAACTAGGTAGATACTAGTACCTAATACTCATACGATAGTACTTAGGAAGGACATTCGCCTACAGTCGTCCAATGGCAACAATTATGCATGCAGGGGCTTCGTAAGGCTTTTCTATTAGTTTATGATTATTACTCTTTTTTTTCTTCTTTCTTTCTGCTTTTCAGTTTTTTTTTTCATTTTTTTTTTCTTTTGCTCTTGTTACAATCATCTCTGTTGGTACAGATCCGTACCACTGCGTTGATTGTATCTGCCTTGTCTTCTGCCTTAGGCTAATTTCCGTTACATGAGTTTCAACCGACTGGCTTGCAGTCGATGCTCCACATACTGAACTTTGGTGCCACCGTTAGAAGCTTGCAAACCATGGGTGCACATGCGCCTGGAAAATTCCCGTTTTTCACATCGGATATGCCGAGTAGTCAAGATCTATCTAGGTGTAACTTTCGGCATGGCCCTTCATCTCTATTTCATCTCTGATGTCTACGTCAGAAGCTCGAATCGCCGTCGGGATCGTCGTTTGTCCGCTTTAAAAGAGTATCTAGGAGGATGATCCGGGTAGCTAGGGAGATGTTAAATAGATTGACTGGCTGAACCAGGGTGATGGCTGTACAAGGATTGGCCGCACTGGACTATAATTGCCATTATTAATAAAATCCTCCTGGATTAGCCTGAATTTTTCTGATTTGGCTTGTTCCTGGTTCTCTCTTCAACGGCACCCCAGTCATTTAAGTTCCAACATTTAGCATCCCAATTACATGGATGTCTCAGACCGGTCGGTGCGGATTGACCCTATCGGAAAACAACCAGAGGCGAGGTGGACACTCTGCTGCGTCTATCCCGAAAAGTCACGGCTTTGGATGGCTTTAGTGCCGTGACTCGAAAGCGTCGTCGGTCTGGTACTACTAGGCAACGAGATACATCCTCCTCGACAAGGTTATCCGATTAAGGGTCTCTACTCTTGGCCAACTAACATCAACTATTGTTTTGTATTTCTTTCTGGAGGTGGATCTCCTTGTTAATACTATCTTATTGCTTCAGGATTGGCTCCATTCAGGGCTATCGGTCGGTTCCTCTTCACCTTTTTTCGGTATTTGTTCGGGAAAATAATTCCCTCTGGATCAACCCTACTTTCGTCAACTCCCGAGGCTCAGTGTGCCAATAAGTGTTTACCTCGTTTGCTATAAGGACACTTTCTTATTTTGCCTTTTTTTAATTTATTTATTTATTTTTTTTTTTTTTTAGCATTTATCTGAGATTTTTGACCCTCGGTAAGCGCCATCAGCTGTGAATCGTATGATGCGTCCCCAAGTAATAGACTTTTTTCTTTTTCCCTTTCATTTTTTAAATTAGTTCACGTTAGCAGTAAGGTAGTATTGCAGGAATTAGGGTAAGAGCCCTATATGTACGATATTTCCGTAAGGGTTGGACCTGATTGCCCGCTGAAAGCCAGTGAAATTGACGGAGAATAATCGCCTTAACCGTGGGACATGGGAACTAGAAATGCTTGTAGCTGATACAGTCGGCCTTGATCGACGAACGGCTCTGTTTTTCTTTGAGTTTCCCGGATCAGTAATCAGGAAAATAATACCCTGTGTTATTGGAGATCCGGCTAATAGCCTTACCATACTAGTCCTCCCAAGGATTCGAGATTGGTCGGAAAAAGGAAGGAGAAACTACGTAGAAAATCGCGACAACCTTGACGGATTGCAGATCGGATCGTCATGATGTGAGACAAGTTGCAATTACGCCGTTACTGAACGATACGGGCTGTCTGCCGGAGAAGAGCCGTTGGATTCCAAAGAGGAACTCCTCCGGACTCAAAACAGTATAGCAGATGGAGCACGCAGTTGGTGGTAGTTTAAGCCGAGCCGAGACACATGCTCTGCTTCCCTTTCCTAATGGAAATGATAATGGAACTCCTTCGGGCCCGGTTGTCGGATTTCACCTAAGCCCACTTGGTACGAAGACCCCGCGAATAACAGTCCAATGGAACGATCGATAGTTTGAGCTCCTGAAGCTATCACTGCCTTTGCTGCACCTTCCCGAGCCTGTGACTTACGTATACCCTCTGAGACTAATTGAGGCTGGGACTGAGACCGTCCCGTGGGAGGATCTTCCCTTTCTTCGAGGTTTCGAGGGTTAATCGGAGGTGTCCGAAATTCGAATACATAGTACGAGGCTTTTTTCTTTTCTTTTCTTTTCATTTTTTTTTATCCCACTTTGCATATAGAATGGATCAGCGTAACTTGCCGGTGGGCATGTGGTACGCCCCCCCCGTATAAGTTAAGTATAGGAATTTTTACGAGTCGTGGGCCGAAGGATTCTTTACTGATTTTAGGTTGTACTTACCATTTTACGAGTAGTTATTGTATTTGAGATTGATATCATCTCGGATAGCTACAGTCCAGAAAAGAGATAATGATCACAATATCATATACGGCTAGGACCGAAATTTAATATCAGTAGGTAAAAGTAGTCCCACATGATTATGTCGACTAACAGGGAGCTCTGGATCCTCGCACACAGACATACAAATTAATCAATTTAGGGAAGTTGTCAGTCGACCAGACACGAACTGGAAATGAAAGGAGTTGTTTGGTAGACGGACGGGACCAAAACCCACAATTTGTCCCTTTCCCATCGTGCATTGATTGAAACATTGAAAACAAGGTTATTTTCAACTGCCGTTCCGAAGATTCTCCCTCCATAGCGGCAGAGCCATTCCCACGTCTCACCAGTCACCCATAGTCTGGTCCGGGTCTCCAGTTTCTTGCTCCTCTAGCTTGTATTCTCTTTGGGTTCTGGAGATAAAACGGGATCTGGGAACGTTTTTATTCCCTCCGCCGCCCCCTCCCTTCCCCTCTATCTTTAGGCTCTACCATACTTAGCATTGTACGAAAGAGGGTATTGCGGGTCGTCCGTTAAAAAAGAAACTTTAGTTAATTAAGAAAAAAAAATTTAAATAAATCCACTGAGGTAGTTTTTCTTTACCTTTTATTTTATTTTTTATTTTTCTTTCCTTTTCATTGCAAACAGAGTGGACAGAGTGAGAGTGGGAAAGGGAGCTCAATTCGGTTCTTCATGGGGCATCCCACGGAGACAGACTACTATCAACAACCCGTTGCATGATTTATGACACTTCTGACGATGAAGCTGGTCTGTGAAGAAAACGATGACGATTCTTGTCTTTCCTTGACTCTTGGCAGTGACTCCTGCGGTCGAATTTGACTGTGACACTGGTGCCCCTGCTGATCATTAGGGAAGGGAAAAAAAAAAAAAGAAAAAAAAAAAGAAGGAAAATAAAATCCTTCGAAGCTTTCTAGAAATTGACAAGTATGGCATTGTGGCGTGCAGGTTCGTTTCAGGATGAGGAAAATCCTTGAATAACGCTTTGTATGCAAGTCATGAAAAGGGTAGAGGTGTGTGGATTAGAGATCGTCTTTGTTGGAAGGTTAGTCGTAGTCAGAAGTACATTGCATACTTATCTCGATTTGGCCATATATAAAGAAAAGCCTAGGGACCCGTCAATGATAGGGAAGTCTGGGCGTCGACCGTTAATGCTAAGATAGTGCCTGTGGATTGACAGAACCCGAGGAGAATCGAACTAAAACTGAACCCTTTTTTTTTTCCCCATGATCATCCGAAGGAATTTGTTTGATGGATCTGTCTAATTTGAAGAGAACTACTATTAGTTAACTTCGTTGGAAAAAAAAAAAAGTGTTATCATTTTTATTTTTTTTCTCCATTGGAAATTATTTTAATATTCTTTTCATTCTGCTGGACTGGATTTTTTTTCTTTTCTTTTTTTCTTTTAATCGATCGACTTTATACTTCTTCCTTTTCCCATCGGGTGATTGATTTCCATTCTCTCTCACGTTCTTACTGCCTTTCCATTCCCGTTCAATTTTGGGGTTGTCCATTTTTTGAATTTTATCCTTATTTTTTTGTTCAATTTCTTGGCCTATCTTTTGATCTTTTCAATTTTGATTATTTTTGGAATTGCCTGTGTCTCTCTCTTTCTCTCTCACTAGCACCGCCCCTCCCTTTAGTACACGTCTTACAGGGGAGGCTGTTTTTTTGTGTACGAGTGCAGATACTTCAACGTCAGAACACTTGGCCCCCGATATCCCTCGGCCCTCAGTAGCAAATCACCTCTCGCATTGCTCTGTGGATTTGCCGCGAATACGCTATCACTGCCAGGGTCCATTCCTTTCCCTCTACGGAGTAGTGGCAGTGTGATTTTCCCAGCCTTCCTCTGAACGGTTAAGGTGCGTATGGATTCCTAAGGGTTCCCTGTGGGCTACTGTGAACGCCAGAAGAGGGCCTTTGGTAAAACAAAATTCCCAAAATAAAAAGAAAAATAAATAAAAAAAAAGGAGCAACAACGAGGAGAGAGAGAGAGAGAGAAAGGACAAAGAAGAGCAACCCACTTCGTTGTTACTTTAGTCTTTCATTCGCCTATTGTCCTACGCGGCCGCGGACACCATTTGTCCTCGACAAACGCCCTTTTCCTTTATCCGTACTCACTAAGCTTGTTTCCCTGCCGTTCTGACATTACTAGTGCCTGCAGTCCGACGACGCTATCCCTATATCATTTGTGTCCAGAAGACGTTGTCTTGACCCTACTACTCTCCACCGTATCGGGGCGTCTCCCAGTGCCGCCTGGATTCGGGCCCAACAATTAACCCCCCCTCCTCCTACAGCGGGACCAACTGTTGGGTGTCCGGGACAGTCAACTGGAATCTTGCAGTATCCCGGGAATGGGGAGAGTGTTCCAAAAAGCCAGAGTATCAGACTCGTTTGCGCAATGACAGTGGCATGCTAGATTGGATACGACCCAACTGCTGCCTTCCCCGTTGTGTTTCCATTCTCCGGAAGTGTATGGAATCGTTCAAGTGAGCCCGTGTGGCGCGAAGTCGTTCTTTTTTGTTGCAGAAAGCTGGTCACAGATCATCCAATTCTGGTAGTCATTCTCTATTCACTCGGCGTCCGCCACCTCCGCATTCGGTATATTCGATTCAGTTCCCTTGATAGAGGGTATTTGTCACCAGTACGAGGTTCGAAGAGAGCCCGGTTCTATCTGCCCTTTCAATCCAAAGAGGGCTTAAATACGGCTTTTATCTATCATTTTCCATTTGATTTTTTTTTATGACACTGGTTTTGCTACGACATCCTTGGATTTTTTATCAACGCCAGAAGCATTCGCAAAGTCAATAGGAGGTGTGTGTGTGGATGCATTTCGACCCGTCTGTTTACTTGCTTTAACGTTATCATACCCCTTTTGGTAAACAATGTTAATCGTTTGTGCTGTTCTCCTTATCAGATTCTTCCATTGCTTGGTACCTTAAGACCTCGGGCTTCGTTTGGCTTTCTTGCAGGCGCTTGGATACCATCTTGAAAGCCGTTGCTGTTTGGGATAGGATCTTAGGTACCTGCGCAGAACCGACTGTCGTTTACGCCCAATGTCAACCATGTCGAACTACTATGTGGGACAGTTCGGACGTACGTTACCTGCCATCGATGGCCAGCCGGGTCGTCGAGAGTCCATCACGCCAGCTAACCCGCCAGTCTCTGGATCTCACCCATACCAACTTCCACCACCGCGTGCTTCGGCACCTTTGCAGTTAGGAACTGATCCCTTCTTGCATCAGCGAAATCAGGGAGAGGGAGCCGATTCTGGTGGGGCACTTTCGAGGCCCTCTCCAGGTCATCAGCAGACTCCAAACAAACAGCTCCCATCCGTTAGCCAGTTGTTGACTCCCACTGTGCATGAAAGCCGACCACCATCACCCTATCATCCCCATGCATTCAACTATGCGCCTCATAATGGAGCGACAGATCCCACGCATCGGTATCGTCCTAAGGAGACAGGCCCTGTCTTCGCGACGCCCCGGAGTGACATCCACGAGAGCGCCAAATTCCATTCTGATCCTAGTCCACAGCTGCAGCCGGGGACCTTGCCCCGCCTCGCTCACATGTCGCCCCATGGTTTAGGACATGAGCCTCACTTTAGCTCTGCAAGCCAAGGCAGCCCTTCTATTCCACCTTTCGCACCCCCTTCTTATTCCCCCCAGGGCTTCAGATCTCATGAACGGGATCCAGGAGATGTGGCTGGCTCAGAGACCTCGGATTCTGGTAGTGCGACAGCAAACAAGTCCCAGTCCAATGTCCGACCTCATGTCATCGATGAAAAGTATATCGATGGGGAGGGTTTATGCTATATATACGCTGATGGCTCTCATTGTCCGAAGATCGTCGATGGTGTTCCGGTGAACGCCAACTGGGGGATCACCAAGGCTGGAAAGCCGAGAAAGCGGCTGGCACAGGCGTGTCTAACATGCAGGGAAAAGAAGATCAAATGCCAACCAAACCTTCCTAAATGCGACCAGTGCCAGAAATCCGGGCGAGAGTGTAGGTTTGAGAGCGCGTAAGTACCGAAGATCTACTCAATGCAATGCACATGTGTTTAGCTAACATCGTTGTCTATTAGGCCTCGCGGCCATCGTGCAGCACTGAAGGCTTCGCAACTGCTAAACCGATATGAAATAAGAGATGGTTTCACTACGGGTCACAACTATCCGGGATCTTCTAGTTCGTTTTACTCGATGGTTCGGGCATCGGAGAGCTCAACCTCCCTTCCGGGAACCAGTTCACAGTCACCGGTATCTGAAGGCGCTGTGCTTACTCCTTCCGCCATGGAGGGTGTTCAGGAGAATACGCTAGAAGCCGAGCATCAACGCAGGCTGCGTGTACAGAGCTTGAGCCGGGTCTCCATGGGGCCTGAGGAATTCAGCAAACGCCCTGCCGTCCATGTATCGCCGGATTACAACGAGATATTGATGGAGATGAAAGATTTAGATCATCAAGATCCCATCGCATGCGACTGGAGCATCGATCCATACGAAGCCGATCCCGAATTGACAATCCATTATGTTGAAACCTATTTTAGCTACATCAATGATCGCTTGTATTACATGCTTCCCCGGAAACGTTTCCTTCTGTGGTTGAGGTCATGCCATACGAAATCATTGGACGATAATATGCTTCTTTATTCGATGATGGCGTTGGGTGCGGTGTTTTCAGATCGTCCAGATCGAGTGATGGCACTAAAAAGGTATTCGCGCACTGCCCGATATGCAGTGGAGCGCAGCCAACATAGTCTCACGTTGCAACTTGCGCAAAGCCGTATTATCATGTGTCTCTGGTTTTACGCTATCGGTGCACTCGTGAAGTCGTGGGATGCAGCAGGTGCAGCCGTCCGAACCGTGTGCGGGTTACGATATAATGTTGAGTCAGGTGGAGTAATCGTAGACCAAAGCCAACAAACTTGTGAATACGGTCTACACCCTCAAGCGTTGATTGAGTGCCGCCGGAGGACATTCTGGATTGCATTTATGATGGATGTAGGTTCCCCGGGAACGTCCCGACTTAGTTGGTTTCATTTCCGAACCTGCGCTGACCATTTGTCTACTAGCGCCTGTCCTCCTTCTACACACCCTCCTCGACCTTTATTTCCTCCCAATCCGCCTACCTCAGACTCCCTTGCCGAGAAGAAGTCTACGAAGCCCAACAATATACTACCGTGCCTTATTTCCAAAATTTCTTGAACCAGACACCGGTGTCGCCAGAGGATGAGCTCTCTGGCATAAGTGCCATGGCGCTTTTGATAGACGTCATGGCCATCTGGGGAGATGTGTCTGATCATGTATTCCGACTATCATTGATACCCGCGGATGCATATCGCAAGCTCTTCGAAGAATTTCATTCCTCCATCGTCCGGCGGTCGGACGAGTTGATCTCGAAACTTCCAGATCATCTTACCTTCACGGCAGTAAATATGGAGCGAAGTATTCGGACAAAGAAGGCAGACACATTCGTGGAGATTCACTTGCTGTATCATGCAACCTTGATGAAGCTCAATCGACATGCTCGTCACCGTAGCCTGCCTGAAGCAACAATCGACTGGCACGTACATACAACTCGGAATCACGCGGCCGAGATTCTCCGGATATCTCTTACTCTTATGCGCTATGCTGCCGAGTACGAACCGTCGCGACTTGCCATGGAGCCGACCACGGCCAAAGGCACGATTCTTAGTCCTTACCTAGGCTACGTGATAGTCTCTGCGGTCGACGTCCTCAGTGCGGGTGGGTTAATGGTTGATATCCCCGAGACCATCACTCTCATTCGGGGTGGTCTGGAAACATTGAAGGAACTGAGCCGTTTCTGGGCTGGATCTGTGCCTTTAGTATCATTGGTCGAAACACGTCTAGACGTGATGCTAGAGCATCGCCATCACCCGATGATGTCGGAAGGCAAGGTTGCTTTCATGGTAACCGGCCCGTCTCTGGATAGTCAGGTCCGCAGCGGTACCCAAAAGCAAGAACCACCATCCAACGAAGATCTCATGTACGGTGGCTTGCCCCGTGAACGGTTCTTTGCCGCCGTGGGCGCCGGAAATGTTCCATTCCTGGAAGAAAATATTCTCTGGATCAGAGATACCAGTTGAATAAAAAGGCATTGCATTGCAGAGCTACTTTCCCATATAATGTTGGCGATCTGCTACGATTTCTACCCTTTATCCTTTCCCTCATTTGTTCTCTGAATCCTTGCATGGCGCGGTTTACCAAAATGGGCTAAGATAATTTATTACCGTATACCCTGGAGGCTGGTCTCTTTCTTCTGCTACCCTTTAGCCCTTGCGCTGTTTGAATTTTCTGCTCCGTTTGATTGAAGGCTGGAGTATGCCTGTTGACGGAGTAAATGCGGATCCATTGTGTGTGGTCCCGTATGACATGAATGATACGCTAGATGCATTGACATGGACGTGTATATTAGCGAGACATGGTTGATCTAAGCATGCTTTGAATTGAGTTTTCTTAGAGACTTTTGACCTATGAATTTTTATTCTATCATGATATGATATATATCTATATAAGTGGCCCATCTCAATGAAGACAAGAGTACCTACCTAATACCCAAAACAAAACGACACAAACGTCGTACCTTAATTGGAAAGTTCCCACCATACCGAATCCGTCAAGGCACGTACACGGGACCAACGGGGATCCACATCCGAACCCCCGACACTTTTTTTCCCGCGACGTCATCCCAAATAACAGCTAAACGTCTCCCCGCAGAAAGAAGAAAAGAAGAAAAAACAATAGCTAAAGAAATTCCCCGACCCATCACCCACCGACTAAGATCAATTCGAAAAACCAATCATCACAAGAAGATGCCTCGCCGCCACTTCCACAATTAATTCTCGAACTGATTGCCCCCGTCCAGAGAACCAACAGCACAAAGTCACCATGGAAGCGTCCTCCTCATCCGAGTCCTCGGACTGGGTCCATGCTGAAGCAACAACATCCCAAGAATGGACCACCGGCCCCGAATACCCAGATAATACCACGGATCGCAATCAAGCACATCCCTCCACCGAAGCAGAACCAGACTACTCGGCTCTATTATCCTACCCCGAAGAAACGGATTACTATGCCCTCCTGGGGTTATCCCGGACACCGCCGCCTAGCGACGCGGAGATCCGCTCCGCGTACAAGAATCTGACGCTGAGCTTCCACCCGGACAAACAGCCCGGTGAGTGGCAGGAGATCGCGAGACGGCATTTCGAGCGCATCCGCGAGGCGTACGATACGCTGATTGATCATCGAAAGAGGACCGTGTATGATCTCCTGGGGGCGGAGGGCGTCCGGGCGGAATGGGGACCCGGTGGGAGTATGGGAAGGGGCGGGGAGGCGGAGCGGGAACGCAGGGTGGGTGTCAGGGCTAGGACGCCTGAGGAGTTCCGGAGGTGGTTTTTGGAGGCTATGAAGCGGAGGGAGAGGAAGGCCATTAATTCTATGGTGCAGAGTCGGGTATGTTTATCTTGATTCCCTGTCTTTTGTTTGGTTTTTTTTTTTGTTTTTTTTTTTTTTTTTCCCTTCCGGGAGGGGGTTTGATTTTGGGCGTTGTTGCTGACCTGGTGGGCTCTCTTTCTTTCTTTTCGTCTGGTAGGGTTCCATTGTCCTGGGTATTGATGCTTCCGATCTGATTTCTGTCGATGAGGATGAGGGTGAGGTTTATATCAATGTGCCTTCGGCTAGGCCGTCCAGGTTCAATGTGGGGTATGCTTTCAAGGCGCCTTTGCCCACGCCGAAGAAGCTACTGGGGAAGTTGGAGAGGGATGAGCCTGTGGAGGATGGTGCTGAGCAGCAGGAGGCTGAGGCTGAGGGTGATGAGCCGGAGATGGTCATCAATGCTGGGATTTCGGGTGAGATGCGGCACCTGGCCCAGAAACTTACGGTTGAGCTTAATGATGGAACTACGGAAACACGTAAGGTAAGAGAGGCGTTGTTGTGATCAGCCGGACTTGTGGCTGACAGTGTTGTGTAGGTTCCCTTGCCACCAATTATAGCCTCGCAGGAGATCACGCTTGGGGCCTCTGTCAATCATGTGTTTGGCGACGTTGCAAGCCAGAAGGGCATCCTTAGCAAGCGGCCTTTCTCGTTCCTCAGATATTCTGCTGTCTCAGTTGGCGCCATGGTCTTGCCTGTTCCGTCAATGCAGGCGAACATGACGAAAGCTTTTACGCCCGTTGCCGGGGCGAAACCTTTTAACGTCAACTTTAGCAGTTCGTTCTATAAGTCGCCTGTGAAGTGCCCGCCTGCAATGGCTGTTCAGGTCATGAAAGAGGTGGGTGACAGGAAACACGCCTACTGTAGATGGCAAAGTGGTACTATCAGCTGGCCAGGCGCTGTAGAACGCTTGCTTAGCCCTTTTCTTGACATTGGTCTGGACGTCGACTCTGCATTCACCATTCCCAAACAGATTAGCCAGTTCCAGGTTGGCTTGCTATCTCTCCCAAAATCTCAGAAGCAGGCTGCTTTTATGGATGACTATGACGAAGAGCCAGAGGGCGAGGAAGAGGAGAGCGAATACCAGCAGCTTCGGTCCAAGCAGCGCGCAGAAGACAAGGTGGGCGAAGCTTGGCAGTTAGGCTTCTCTGTTTCTCCTGAAGCAAGTGGCTTACAACTGAGCTATGCACGCAATCTCTTTTCTGGAACGGCCGCCAATGACCCTATGCGCTCCGAATGGAGTTCCGAGGGCCATTATGCTTTGCCACCAGCAAATGAACCACGCTCTGTGCGGGTTGAAGTGGCCAGTACTATCAACATGGATTTGTCACTTTCGTGGAAGATTGAAGGGTCGAGGCAGGTTGGAGAACTGACTCGCATGGGACTCGGTGTTGGAATTGAAGGCCCCCATGGCCTTGTCATGACGGTCTCGTGGAATAGACTTGGCCAAAAGATCAAACTTCCTATCGCTGTCTGTCCCGTTAACATGGTTAATGCGGACGCTGCCGCCCTTGCTGTGATATTCCCATGGCTGGCATACTGCGCGTGGGAATTTGGGTTCATTCGGCCACGAGAAAGGAAGAACCGTCGACGTGTAATAGCGCGACGACAGAAGGAGCTGAAGAAATTGGTACCAATAAAGAGAGCGGAAAGCCTGCAAGCGACTGAACTTATGACTGAGCAGATACGGCGGAAGCAAGCGAAGGAGGAAAGACAGAACGGTCTAGTCATTACTAAGGCCGAGTATGGCCATCATCCTTCAAAGAAGAAGGGCAGCAGCATTGATACAGAATATGAGGTGGTGGATGTTACTATCCCTGTGGCTGGTTTGGTTGACCGTAGCCAGCTGGTGATTCCCAAAACCATGGTCAAGGTGAGTTTATTATCAGCCCAGCGGTCTCACGGGGATACGATTTAGCTAATTATGAGCAGTTCCATATCCTTGGCTTTTATGACCCGGCCCCTCTTCTGCCAAAGACCCTGAAGATCTGGTATACATACCACGGAGCACAGCATTATGTAGAAGCCACTGATTCCGAAGCTATTGCTTGCCCTATGCGCACTCATTTGATGTCAGATGAAAGCTAGCCAGTATCTGGTGAACGCATGACATCTGTCTTAATATGTTAATAACTGTGGTGCTGTTGACAATGTTGTTGTTTTGGACATCGCCACTCTTGGACCGCACAACTTTGTATGTTTGGTGTACTGACAGATAGACTTATTATTCTGTGTTCTTGGAGTATGAATAGCACAACCCACTAGTAGCATTCGTAATAATTTGAATACTTGAAGCTGTGGAATATAGTTTGTCTTCAGGAAATAAAAGCCAGGATGATTTGTGAAGGTTTTGAGTGAAGTAGGGGAGGCATCCGATAGGTAACGGACTTTGGCTTCTGCCTGTCATGCCAACGATCCCACTGGAGTCCCACCATTTGTTTGCCGGTGTTACTGTCATTTCAGATTACCAGAGCCCCCCTCATATATTCCCTTCTTTGTTTATCTATCTTCGCGATCTTTTTCACTTTACATTCTCATCCGGTCACATCCTTTCACACCCTTGACCGCGTAACCACACCTTCTTACCCAACTGACCATATATAAACATGACTGAAATCCATGATGCCGTTGCCAAAGAGGGCACACCTTTTGCTGCTTTCAATACTCCAGGTCCTATTACCCCTGTCAAGTACCGCCCTACTTGGCCAAAGCTGCAGCCAGACGAGCCCACCGTGACTACGACTCCCACTACTTCTACTGCTTTCACTTCTTCTACTAGACCTGCTGCCACTGTTCTGACTGCACCTGGCGCAACCCCTGCTCAAGCTGGCTATCAGTGCTGCCCTGGACCCAAACTTCACACGAGCTGCTACTCCAGCGGACCATACGTTGGCGTTATCCCTACTCATACTTACTGCCCAAAGGTACGCTAAAATGAGCATGACGCCATAAACTCACTAATAAAACATGACTGTAGGCTGCAGGATTCCCTGGTCATTGTGTCTGCCGCCCTGTAGATGTGTCTGACCCTGTTATACCGAAGCCTTATCACCCCGACGTTTTTGAAGTGAACAAGCCGATGGCTGTTTCTACTGGTATTGTCGACCCAATTTCCTGTCATGCCTAGTATATAACTGAAGCTGAGAATAAGTGCAAGGTACTAACTTCTCGCTCATAGCCTCTAGCTCCGGAAAGCCAATGTACCAGGTCCCATACCTTGTTGAGGAAGACCGCAAGTTCTGGTTTCACGCGCCCAATGGTGATTGTATGCACCTCACTGTCAAGCAAATCGCGGAGAAACAGTGCGTCGGGCGCTGGGCAAACACTTGTACTGGCCAGCCTTACTATGTGTGTTTGCCTAAGGATAGGATCAGGTATGACGCTAAGGATTTCAATGCAGTCTTTCAGATGAGTGGGCTCAGTCATATTGAGTTTCACAAGCGCTACCAGCCTTTCTGATTTTTGGTATGTCTTTTTCTTTCCTGCTCCTTCCTTCTTTCCTTTCGCTGTCTTGAGTGTGTTCCGTGCTTTGATTACTTGTGCGTTTGGGATGCTGATGTCACATAGCGAACTCAATACCTGCTTTTGCTGACTTACTGGACTGGTCTGGTGCTGGAGATGAAGTGGCGGTTTGATATTCGCTGGATACTACGCAACTTTTGCAATTTGGCCGTGGTTGTGGGCATATTGGATGGTGAATACGATGAAGGTTCTGTGATGGCGAGAGCTTAGTTGTACCTAGTGTACTTATTCAATGGAACTCCCTTCTCTAACTATCTCGCGCTCCTAGAAATGGCGATGGTCTTTTGTGGCTATGTTAGTGTATGACTGTGAATCTAGTAAGTCAAAATACTTGACACTGGCTCCAGTCAGCGATTGTTAGACACAATCAGACGCCATAGCCAATGTTGGATTAGGACGATTCTAGAAGTTCACGAAAGGTAGAAGGAACTAAAAATACATCCCTAGCCCTATTATATGTGTCGTACAGATACAGAGGGATTCCCGACCCTATTGCTCCAGTACTGCAGCGGTGGGTTTATTTGTTGATATCGAGTATAAACTATGAAAACGGATGTGTTCCCAATTGGGAAACAATGACGACGAGACGACTAGAAAAAGACACTACGGTGCGCCACAGAATCCACTCCCGCAATCCCGCCGCCAAAAAGAGAAAAAGCATCCAACCACCACTAGAACTTTCAACTTATCAATCACTCCTCCCTCCCCATTCCCTTATCAACAGTTTCACCCCCTCGACAATGACTTCCATTGCAGAGGGGCTTTTTAAATCCCTTCCAAAGCCGAAATACACCGGCGAGGATGAGGAGATCCCGCATCACGCGCAGCCCCGTGGTCCGCGGGTCGTGGGCGCGGACCAGATCGATGAGTCTCAGATTGTACTAAGGGTGAGCTCATCCCGGTTTATTTAGATGTCCTACTTATATGTCATTGGGATGCTAATGAAAACACTTTAGAAAACCGGTCCGCCCCCGTATGGAAACCGTACCGGATGGCGTCCTCGAGCCCCCGAAGATTTTGGCGACGGTGGCGCGTTCCCCGAGATTTTGGTCGCACAGTATCCGCTCGACATGGGCCGGAAAGGTTCATCATCGACATCTAATGCACTTGCTGTGCAGGTTGATGCAGAGGGAAAGGTCAAATACGATGCGATCGCGCGACGAGGCCACAGCGATAACCGGATTGTGCACGCCTCCTTTAAGGACTTGATCCCGCTCCGACAGCGGGTGGATATGGGTGAAATCTCGCTTGACCGGCCGTCAGAAGAGGAAGTCACGGCACAGATGGAGAAGACGAAGAATGCGCTGGCGAACCTGGTGTCGGGAGCCGTGGCAGCACAGAAGCCTAAGAACGTGAAGGGGGGTAGTCGGGCGGAGCCGACCTTTGTTCGTTATACGCCTGCGAACCAGATGGGTGATAATTCTCGGAAGAATGACCGCATCATGAAGATTGTGGAAAGACAGCAGGATCCTATGGAACCGCCGAAGTTCAAGCACAAAAAGATCCCTCGTGGACCGCCGTCGCCGCCCCCGCCGATCATGCATTCGCCGCCGCGGAAACTTACGGCCGAAGATCAGGAGGCCTGGAAGATCCCACCGCCTGTGTCGAATTGGAAGAATCCCAAGGGTTATACGGTTCCGCTCGATAAGCGTTTGGCCGCAGATGGTCGTGGCCTGCAGGATGTTACTATCAACGATAAGTTTGCTCAGTTTGCTGAGGCTTTGTTCACTGCCGATAGACATGCTCGTGAGGAGGTTAGACTGCGTGCTCAGATGCAGCAAAAATTGGCGGAAAAGGAAAAGGCGCAGAAGGAGGAACACTTGCGGGCACTTGCCCAAAAGGCCCGCGAAGAGAGAGCTACCAGCAGCCGTCGCGACTCCCGTGCGGTGTCTCGCTCTCGCTCTCGCTCTCGCAGTGTCAGCCGCAGTCCGTCTCCGTCCTCTGATCGAGGCACTCCGAGTGACGACGAACGAGCTGCCCGGGAGCGTGAGCGCATGCGTCGCGAGCGCCGTCAGGAAAACGAGAGACAGCTCCGTCAGTCGAGAATGGGTACAGAGAGACGTATTCAAGCAATGGCTCGTGAACAGAACCGTGACATCTCGGAGAAGGTCGCTCTGGGATTGGCCAAACCGACTCAGTCTTCCGAGACTATGTGGGATTCTCGTCTGTTTAACCAGACGAGTGGAATGGACTCCGGATTCAACGAGGACAACCCCTATGACAAGCCGTTGTTTGCTGCGCAGGACGCCATCAACAGCATCTACCGTCCCCGGGCCCAAGTCGACGCCGACGACGACGAGGGTGGTGCTGAGGGAGAGATGAGCAGGATTCAAAAGTCGAACCGATTCGAAGTTCTGGGCAAGGCTAAGGAAGGCTTCCGTGGAGCCGCTGATGCTGAGGTGAGTAACTCAATTGATCCCTTTCGTCAACTTTTATAGTAGAATCACTGCTAACGAAACAAAAAGGCCCGTGATGGCCCTGTTCAATTCGAAAAAGACACCACTGATCCCTTCGGCATCGACAGTATGATTGCCGACGTCACTGGTGGAGCTGGACAGAAGCGCTACGGCATTCAGGAAGTCGATCGTGAAGACCGTGGCTCCAAGCGCGCCAGAGTTGACGAGGAGTAATTACTAGATGAGGTTGGGTTGGCTCGGTAGGATTCGATTTATACCATTGTTGTTTGTTGGGATGATTCATGCATTGCCGGCGTTGTCATCGTTTCTTCTATCTATGAGATTGGTTTCTTGCTCTGACTCAGGGGACAAATCCAAAAATTATTGGGCTGCTTTGTGAATATATGTAACTTGTATTGTTGTCAGACAGACAAAACTCGGTAATGACTTTGGATCAATGATGTATACACATGTATAACTGTTTAGCTTACCTACAGAGCACTTCTTCTGTTTTCTATCTCGTCTGATATTCGGGCTACTATTCCCATGATTCCATGAAGACCTTTGGTTAGCCTGATGAATTCTATTCTGAGCATACCCCTTGGGACCTCTTCTCTCATCATAATAGGTAGCGTGAACAGCTAAGTAGAGATGTGATTCTTATTCATTTTGGTTACAGTATCTAGCTCCATTTCTTTCCCTCCAGGATAGTATGTACAATTCCGGAGCATCGATACATATTAGGGTACTTTCCCTCTGCAGTTCATATTTGCACATAAAGGTATCAGAAACAAAAACAAAAACAACAAAAAAAAAAAAAAGGTAACCATAAACCGTACTCAGAAGCCAACCCATCAAATCCATAACCCTAAAAAACACACCTCTTCCTCTTTCTCCACCTTCAACACCACATACATCACTATCACTACCCTGACCCCCTCCTCCTCTTCCTCCCAACCCCAAACCCAACCCCCATCTCCTCTCCAACCCTCTTCCTCCTCCCCACCTCCCCAAGCAACTTACCCTGCAAATCAAACTCCGCCTGCCACCCATCATCCCCCGTAACCGGCGGCGGCGCAACATTCACCGGTAACTCCTCCTCGCACCGCTCCCGAAACGCCCGCAGCTGCTCCTCGCTCCAGCCCTGTGCGCGGAACCACCCCGATAGAGACTCCTGCATGTGGTCGGTGCTTCGGAGCCAGGTGCTGCAGTGTGTGTCCGTCCAGCCTTGCGAACGGAGACAGTTGTAGATGGCTTGTTGGGAGGCGGTTAGCCGGGTTAGGTCGATTGGAGAGACTGGGCGGATGGTGTGGGTTGGTAGTTGCTTGGAGGGGTTTGGGTTGGTGGGCATTTTAGGTAGTATGTTTTTTTTTTTTTTTTTGAGGAGGTTGAGAGGGTTAGTAAGGGGTGGGGTGGGATTATGGGTCTTTTATGTTGTTTTTGTTGTTTTTGTTCTTGTTTATATTGTGGTCATGTATATAGGTCCACTTGGCATGGATGGGGAGGGGGTTTGTGTGTTTCCATATATTGCAGATGGAAGGGGAATGGAAATTACGAGACTCGAATAAGAGATTTACGCTGGCTATTTAAGCTATTTACAATGACCGGGCTACTAGTACATATTGGTGCTCTGGATCCTTTCATTATGAAGGAATTCCTGACCGTATACTAACCCTAGGTTGTTATGACGTCTGATAGGTAGGGAAAACGGTCATGGTTTAGTAGTAAAATCCTGACATGCTTCAAGCACAGGGCAATCCGATCGATCATTCTCATTGGACGAGATTAAATGACGACTAGTTGAGTTATGTACGGGTCATGTAATGATTGTATTCTCTAGTAATACGACCATTATCCCATGAAGGGTTGGTAGCAGCCCTTGGCTCTCTAACTTTAAGTATCTATATGGTATGGCTAATGGCCCTTCCCCGTAGATTCTGGATGGTTGATAAGGGCTCCTTCGTCGGAAAGGTATGTATGCCAGTGGAGCTTGAGATATTATTCGAAATGAACAGAGAATGGGTCATTAGGCGCATATTTTATAGACCCCAGAGAGACTAGGACTTAAGCGGACAAGTACTGCGGAGAGAGAAAGCTGAAGCGCACGTGAAACCGTTGGAGGCGACAAGGGATCTAAATTACTCACTATGGAGCCCCCATCAGTTTGGAAACCGGCGATGGTATTTGCCTAACGGGAAGGAGAGGCCGGAAACAGCAGCTTGGGTATATATTGGCACGCTAGACACCAAATTCATTAAGAGAGCAGCATGGTCGTCAAATACAATCAAGGGATGTAGTGGACCCTACGTACGTCAGAGACTGACTATGCAAGCATAACTAGTAGATGACCGAGACGGCGACGTGATCGGATGATTGAGATTCCCAGGAGCGAATGGATGCGAGAGTCGTGATTTTGACTGCCTCCTACCAGTCCCTGTAGATGATCGTCAGAGGTAGACAACGGTATGCATGAAGAGCAAGATATGGGCAAGCGCTTGAAAAACGACCATGCTAGTGCGTTTTGTGAAAGATAGAGACTGTACTTTAAGAAGGTCATGGGACATAGGTTTCATAGTTATTTGCTGTTGTAGCGCTGCAAGCGCAGTCAGATGAATGTCTTGGACGTTTTAACCGGCAGTGCCGAGGAATGCAAAACTCGACTCGCAATTTGTGGTGATTGCCGTTGCGAATGACGAGCTAGTTGACCTCCGACGGGATTCAGAGACGTCTCTTGGTATGACGACTGTTGGAGTGATACTGCTTGCTAGACGAAACAATACCTGCACCAGGGTTGTACCGCCGGTGTTATATTCCGTAGGGGAAGTGGGTGGTGCCATGATCAGGGCAGGTTCAATGAATGTGGAAGGCTTCTCTTATCGTAGGGGGTTCCCGCTGGCATTCCGTGGATGGACAGGACTCCACCCAGCTCACTGCGGTGTCATTGGGACCCTCCCAAATCCACCCGCTTTATCTCCCGTCGAAAACGGGCTCCTGCTTGCGAAGAGGTGGAGATCCATATCTTACGATACGAATGGTGCTGCCACACTCTCCCCGACTGCAGATTGTGAGACCGATCAGTCTTGTGGTGCCTGACTAGCCTGAGTAAGTTACCCCATGATCCTTGTTGCTTGAAAGTGCGGGGAGCCCATGAGCATTCGCCATGAATCAGTCGTTTCAAATCCTGATCTGCCCATGCAAGGCCATTGGATTGGCATTAGGAACCGTGCGCCGGGAGGATTGGACCAGCAAAAGCACAGGCATTTATCGGTAGTGGCGCCTACCGCGGAGTGGCGATCGCAACGGAATTGCTCATTTGCTACAACTGCTGATAAGCAGTGGTGCTGGTGGAGACACGACACTGGAGATAAAGCTGGGCGAACCACTCGGTCAACGGTTATATCTATTGCGAAAGATCATTAGGTAAAAAATGAGGATAAGGCATTAACGAATTTTCCTCAAGCGGTTGTTCAGGTCTCAAGGGGCCAAAAAGCCAGAAAAAAATCTGAAGGGAGGGACAGCCGGTCATATATATCCTTATAGTTTATTTTAATTTCGTTTTCTTTTTGCCTTGGTTAAGCTTCCAACGATTGTGGATATCTGTGTGGGGACCTTTTTTTGCGACAAACCTTCAGTGACTCAAGTTTCAGCAAAAGTTGGAAAGAGAAACCAACCACAGAATTATTAATTCATTGCATTGCATTGAAAAGGGTGAAGAAGAGGGAGAAAAGGTGGGAGTGTAAGAGAGTGAGTTGAGGACAAGAAACGTAAGTACTTTGTACATACTCAGACCAGGCATAGAGTCCAAGTCACCTGAGAAGCCCTTGTTCAAGTTCTCTTCCACCTTCTTGACTCATTCCAATTCTGGTGTGCTTCAAACCACCTCTGATGCCATGCTCCTCGACTTTTCCCTGATTGCCCGTCTCTTATAGCATCACCGTTCGACTACCCCTTACTTGCATGCTGGTCTTATTGATATCATTCCCTCGGAAAATGGCGTAACGGAAGGCGGTCGACAAGAAGGAATGACTGCTCAACGTCTCCAAAGGTTCAACGGAAACGAAACTATGCAGTATAAGACAAACAGACGAAGCGACTCTGTGCTGACTGCGATCCGTCTGAAAATATTTCGTCGTGCGGCTCATCTCGTTGCCCACAAAGGCGAGCTATCAATCGCACCAGTACCACCTCCATATTATTCTTAGTATACCATTTGGCACCTTCCAAACTTTCGACAGGAATTAATCACGCGGCGTGGACAATCAAGTCTTTGCTCTTCCTTGATTTGCATTCCTATATATAGTCCTGCCTGTTGGAATCCAGCCTTGCCACACCATCACCTTAGAGCCTCAATTCAGCCTGGCTCTATTGTCCTGCGCCGCACTAAATCCACCAGTGATTTATTCACGGGATCACCCTCGTGAAGCGCCGGCGTCTGACCTGTTCCTGGGCCACACAGACTTTACAATACACCTGAAAAGATGGAGCAGTCGCTCTCTCTCATTTCTGCTCAGGTCCAGTTCATGGTAAGCCTATTGATGTCCTACATGCATTAGACCATCTTACAGCATGGTTTCTGAATATGGCTTCTTCAGACAGCTGCTGGACATTTCCAGTGATCCTTCGTTTCTTGAGACTTAGCTGGCTAACAACAATAATGGTAATGCAGGACGACCGACTGGCCCTCGTCCATATTCCACTGGACCTCTACCCGTATTTTTTGAATCCAATCCTTCAGGTCCTTTTTCATGAGGTACCTCCAATTACTGGAAATCCTACAGATTTCCAGAATGGTGGCCCCGACGGTGTCCACCAACGCTCCCATCCTGCGTTCTTGAACCTCTCCATTACACCTGTGGAATGTTCTATTATGTGTCCTAGGCAACTTGCCAATGACTATTTCGCTCCGTTGGTTGAACGGTTTGCGAAGGATAACGTATCGAACCCGAGCCGCTTGTCTATTAGCCGTGAGGATTTCATTGCCATGCAAGTTTACGGAGAGGGTCTCGAGGCAGGCCAACGAGTACTCGAACTCACCAGTCCATTAGCGATGGCGGGAATGTATGTCTCTTTCTATTCTTTCCCCCCTATCGTAGGTTATGCTAATGGGGCTATTTGCAGCTCTATATTCTTTATTTCCACCTACTTCTCAGACTATATTATTGTTCCTCTGCGTAGCAAGGCGCAGGTAATCCAAACTCTGGAAAAGCGTGGGTTTCAATTCGAGATGTCAACGGACGCATTCATCAACAACAACCAGTTCAACAGTTGTCTCAGTCCCGTGTCCCCTCGGTCCACCAGCAGCCTGGGATCTCCCCCGCCCACTCCTCCACCGTCGTCACTTGATGAATTGCAAACTCGCACTTTCTCTTCCTTACGAAAGAATAGCATCACTCCTTCGGTTGATAAATCACTCCGCTTAGTTCAATGTGCGGTTCACCATCGTGACAGCAGTGAAGTCAGCTCTATATCTATACTGCGCGATGCGCTGACAATAGCGCTTGTCGTGGACAAGCCACGCTTTCTATCTCTTACCATGACGGCTGCCGATCCCGCAGCCTCACTCTTGTTGGAACAGCGGCTTTTGCCCCGATTCTCGAGTGACCCTACAGTCCCTGCCGAGCCAGACGATGAAACCAGTCTCTTATTGGGCTCGAAAGAGGAGATCCTCGTTCCTATAGTGCTAGATCTGCGTAGGCTTCCATTAGAGGCTACTGGTATCGTTTGTGGCGTAGCTGGTAGGTTGGCCGATGCTACGCATGCTCGAGGTGATGACATCACGGATGGTTCTTCCACAATTATGTCTCATTCTTTCAATGGTTTTTCTTCTTTTGATGACACCATGAATCATTTTTTCTCTTCGAGCGTCGGATCAGGCGGGCCCGTGAAACCTCCAACCCCTGGTCCTGGACGCAGATTAGCCAGCAACAGCAATCTGACCCACCACCTGCAGCCTGACTTGGACAGCTCAATAGAGGCTGTTGAAATCAGCTTTCTCAGCACTGCACGAGCGGGAACCATTATTGTCGGTGAGCACGAGCTTCAGCGGGCCGTGGATGCTTTGGAAGCAGAGAGTCATGAGCCCGAGGGCCTTGAAGGATTCGAGATATGATTATATCTACATTGCTGCCTCCAATTATACTCTGCCTTCGACTCTCAAACGTACCGCCGGCCTTCCGCAGAAGATACCGCGGCTTACTTTCAGCTTGTCTTATTTTTGAGAACATCTGTGGCAACTTGAACTCTCTTCTTCCCATTAACGATTTACGCTCGGATCGCAAAATTCCGTTGAAGTCTACCATAATCTGCTATACTAGCGCCCAAAAGTTCTCATCTCATCATTTTGGACAATGACACGATATGGATAACAGTACATTCTTGTTTTAAACTATTTTCTTTTTTTTTATTCTATTTTTTAGTTTTTTCACTTAAACTTGTGTTGATAGTTTAGCGAAGTTGTCCGTCTTGCTATGGGATGCCGTGATTGCTGTTCATGCTTTTGATTGGAGATTAGATACCTAAAATTGGATTGTTATCGATATCCAAGGCGCTTTGACTACTTGCCATTTATCTTGCATTTCGTATTCTTTGTTCTTAGGATGACTATTTTCGTTCGGACTGGGATCCTGTCTCCACTAATGACAATTCCATAGGACTTCCAAGGCAAACCTCCATCAGCTGAGAAAACCACAATAGTCGTAATTGCAGGGGCCTAAAAGCTTGAACTAGACCAATTTAAAACCCAGCCTCGTCTTATGGTAAAACTCCGCGAATGAACCCTCACTACTCCATGGTGGCAATCCATACATTCCCACAAAACCAAAGGAACTAATCAATAGATCGGTGTTTGTGACTGTGTCATGCGTTTGTGGGAGGGGAAAGTATAACCAAGTTTCTGAAGTCTTAGTGGTGGCGCAGCTGAGGCCCTATGGCTATCAGTGAACGCAGAAGCACTGCACACTTGGCAAGTGGCTACGAGCTGTGGAGATTAAGATATCGCTTGAGTGGTTTGCCTTGTCTCAGGAAAGCGATCTGTGCCACGATGTTTTCCTCTTAGGGATTGCGATGCCTTCGCCTCTCTTGGGGGTAGGAGCCTATGGGCTGTAGTTGGTGAAAGTGATATGTGCAACATGACTCATGCACGTGGTATGTTTAAGTTAATTATTCATCGGTTGACGGAGCCTGCTTTAGCCGTAGATTTTGACGCTGCCTATTTTTTGAGGCGTCATGTCAGCACATTCCAAGAGTCAATATGTGGGGCCAATACAGATCGAGAGATATTCCTCGGGGCTCACGAAATAATGAATGAAAATGAGGGGTAGAGATATGAATAAGGGAAATACGCACCGTCGGAACAACCACCGGCCCAACATCCCCCCTTCTCATTCCACGCCACGCAACTGACAACCTTGACACCCTCGCCAGCTGGAACACTAGCAACGAGCTCCCCGCTCACAACATCCCAAGCATATATGTACGCCTGGGCCGACCGATCTGCCTTATCCGTTTCGCTTCCACTAAGTACTATCGCATCCCCCTTGGCAAATGCAGACCTGATTCGCAGCTCGCTATTCCGATACCCGGTCTTCCCTGGACCTTTATCTCCGCCCCCAAACGCCTGGAGAAGTTTTCCATCAGTGCGATCAAGCATTCGAATGCGACTGTCTAATGTTGAAGCCAGAAGGGCGTTCCCGTCCGCCGAACAGCGCACGCTCGTTACCGGGTGTGCGAGAACATCGACCGTTGTACGACCCATACGAACATCGTAGATACGGGCACGGCCATCGTAACTTCCACTTGCGATGGAATACGTAGGGGTGTGAACGTGGATGGATGAGACCGTGTCGCTGGCTTCGGTGAGGGTTTGGATTGGCTTCGTTGAGTTGGATCGTATATCCCAGAGATTAATCGTAGTGTCTGCGCTGCCTGAAGTATAAATTAATTATGTTAGAATCAATCGATTTCATCATCACGTGGGCTGAGATGGCGACAAAACTTGGTAAAACATACCAGAAACGACGACCGAATCGCCTTCGCCTGCAAATTGCACCGCTTCAACACGCGCCCCATGCCCACTCCATCGCTTTACAGTTATGCCCTGTTCCACATCCCAGAGGAAAACCTGTCGGTCTCCGCCAACGCTGGCGAAGCGGGAATTGTCACCCGCGACGGCTACATCAAGCACCGAGTACCCGTGCGCTTCGTACTTTTGAATTGGGGATGTCGTTTCCGTACCAGGTTTGTTGGGTATCGCGCGGGAGAGATGGACAGCGCGATCGGACGAACCGGTCAAAACGTATGTTCCAGGATAACTGGAGAATGTGACGGCATTCACCGGCCCTAGGCGACGTCAGAGGGAAGAAGCTCTTGAAGGGGGAGGGGAGCTTACCATTATGTGTCTTTAATGTGTGGACTAAATTTGTAGGGAATTGTTTCGTCATGGGCATTGTACGCAGTAATGTAAAATACACGTCGCTATATTTAAGGTGTTGATCCAAGTCGCAAAAGAGTCGCAGTTCAAGTGGATGTGGAGAAAAGAGCTGTCGTTCTTGGCAATCAATTTAAATGGCAGCGGGAGCACAAGAGGTAACTCTATTCTAGTAGCGTCCCGCGGCTCCTCCGCAGAAGTCGAATTATTGTATACTTCCATGGACAACTCAAACAAATTAAATGTGTATTGACATGCCACGGAATACAAGTAGGTTATTATCAATGATGTAGAAAAACCATCGCTAGCTACCAGCAGGTAAAGAGAATAATAACAAGAAAACCCAGCGAAACTCAGGACAGGGCGTCTATGCCCTATGCAAATTGTCTCCCTCGAGTACACAGAAAGCCGAAAATAAGAAAGTTAAAGATATCTCAAGGGGTAGTCAAATGAACATGAATTAAAATTGACGAATGCATAAGTCTGCTTTTTCCACTGTTGGTCGAAAGACCACAGTTTGCAGTGGTCCAAAAGTGCCTTAGCGACGTCCATGGCTCCGGGTGGATGAGCCCTGCAAGGATTCGATTTCCTGCTCCAGTGATTTGATCCTGTTCTCTTGTTAGTCTCATTAACATTTTCAAGATGAAGAATGGAGAAAACATACGCAGCATGCGTAGCCTCCAAATCCTTGTTGAGGCGGTCTCTCTCGGCAATGAGCTTCTGCTCCCACTGTCGGAAACGCTGCTCTTCGACCTTGACCTGCTCGGTGAACCGCTTGCGAAGCGCCTCCTCCTCTTCCTTGAACTTGGGGTTGTCCAACTTCCTGGGGCGGGCTTCACCGAATTTCCGGGTCTCCATCTGTTGCGCACGGTAGGCCTCATAGTGTTGCTCCTCGGTGGTGTGGATAAGATCCAGCATATGGGTACGAATCAGGATCGAACGAAGTTTCTTAAAGTCGCAGTGGTCCTCATTCTCAACTTCGGCAACACCCCAAGCATATTGACGACCCTTTACAACCCGGTTGTCGCTAGTCTTTACGTCCTTCTCGGAACCGATCACGGCGAAAGGCATGGCAGCCATCAGGCTCCGCGCGTGGGTGGCAGCGTGCTCATCATCTTCTTCAATCGGGGGAGTGTAGATCTTAATGCCTTGGGCTTCAACGACAGCTTTAACCTATATGAAAGCAATAGGTTAAGTAAAAAAATCACAAATGGAGAACCTAAGTCAATCTTACTCTCTGCTTGTAGCGAGCCAGATCGGCGGGGCTGAGGGTGTCGGCCTTAGCAATGACGGGGATAAGGTTGACGCGAGAGCTCAAGCGCTTCATAACCTCAATATCGAGGGGCTTCAAGGTGTGGCCGGTGGGTCTGATGAAATACAGACAGGCATGCACACGCATATCAATCTTATCTATGCGGCGGGGCTGTTGCTCTTGCAACATGTAGGACTCATGCTGATCGTCGAGGAACTCAATGATAGGCTGCCAGGAATCGCGGTTGTTGACGTAGTCTCCGAATCCGGGGGTATCGATGACGGTCAGGCGGACTGTAAAAATACATCCAGAGCGTCAGTTGTCGCCCAGCGAACGGGAAGGGGCTATGGTGTACCTTTGAAGAACTTCTCCTCCAATTCGGCCTTAGTGATCTCGATTTCAACGGTCCGGTCAATCTGCTTCTGGTGACGACGCTTGTGGTCGGCATAGTTCTTGATGGTTGTCGAGAACAAGGTGTTGATAAACGTGGTCTTTCCCAAGCCAGACTCTCCAGCAACCTGCAAGAATATCAGTGCTGATCGGGTTATCGTGTTAGAGTCCTATTAGACAAACCATGATAGTGAAAGCCGCACCCCGCTTAGCGACAATCTTGTGACTGTAAAGCTTCAGTTAGGACCCTCCACCCCTTCTCCACCATAGCTAATCGAGAAACATACCGCTGGTTGGGAAGCTATTGCAATAAGTAATTAGTGGCCCATTTTGGAGAAGTTCCCGAACATATTCCGGCACTTACGTTGGCAATGCCAATGGGGGAGGCAGTCTCAGTAGTGGAGGCCATTGTGATAAAGGGGTCGATCAACGAGAGATGGGAATTCAACTAAGACAAACAACAAAACGATGGTGGGAGGAACGACGCCCTGCTTTTGACGAAAATTAGCTAACGGGAAAAAGAAAGGAGCAATGGGAAAGGATTGAATGGGTGGCAGTACCAATCCGAAATCAATGGCCGTTGAGAATGTAAAGGAAGACAGGCAAACAAGAGGATGCGGCAGTTTGTCGTACCTTCTTTTGGTTTGGGTTGGATTAAACTGCCCCTGAATCCCGTCTAGTCAGCAGTGGAGAAGCAAACAGGAGCAAACAGGCAAAAAGGCATGACCAGGACCATGACCTGACTCCAATTCTGGGGGCTCCACTATACCTCTTCCGGACTAGCCCCTCGGTGTCGGATTAACATGCGGATCAGCTCCCTTATCGCCCGTTTGGGTGGAAAAGTCATTTTTTTTGGAGGTCCAGATTTAAAGGTGATTAATTGACTGACTGCACGCCGGGGTATACGGGCTGGCGACAATGAAGACAGATTTCAAGGTGAGCTATCTCTAGCTATAGCTGATGTTATCTTTAATCCTGAATTTTGAATCAAAATGAAACCTTCTGACAATGCGTTAGTTTTCCAACCTACTGGGTACGGTCTATCGCAAAGGAAATCTTCTTTTCACTCCCGATGGCACCTGTTTGCTTTCCCCGGTAGGAAACCGGGTTACGGTCTTCGACCTTGTCCAGTATGTAATTATATACATTTTTTTAAGTACCAATTGACGGTCATCACTAATGCGACACCGCGCGAAGCAATACATCATACACTCTCCCCTTTGCGCACCGCACGAACATCGACCGTTTAGATCTGACGCCCCAAGGCAACCTCCTACTGTCCGTTGACGAAAATGGTCGCGCAATCTTGACAAACTTCAAGCGCAGGATTGTTATCCACCACTTCTCTTTCAAGGGCCGTGTCTCCTCCCTCAAATTCTCCCCGTCCGGCCGATTCTTTGCTGTAGGAGTGGGGCGACGACTGCAGTTTTGGCATACCCCTTCAACACCGGGTGCGGACAATAATGGGGAGCTCGATTTCGCACCTTTCGTCTTACACCGAGATCTTGCTGGCCATTTTGACGTCATTCAGCATTTGGAATGGTCTCACGATTCGCGCTTCATTCTCACTGCTTCCAAGGATTTAACAGCCCGGGTATGGAGTTTGGATCCAGAGGAGGGCTTCGAACCCACCACATTGGCGGGGCACCGGCAAGGTGTGAAGGCGGCATTCTTTTCTGCTGATCAAGAATCTGTAGGTCTTCCTGATTGTGCGTCTAAACATTAGCTGACGTCCTTGTAGATCTATACAGTTAGTCAAGATGGAGCTTTATTTAGGTGGGAATATGTGACAAAGAAAGACCCCGATACCATGGAAGACGTCGCCGAGGCACGGTGGAGGATTGTGAAAAAGGACTTCTTTATGCAAAATGATGCTAAAGTCAATTGCACTGCATTTCATGCTCCCACTAATCTTCTAGTGGTGGGCTTTTCGAACGGTCTTTTTGGGCTCTACGACTTACCAGAGTTCAACATGATTCACCTTCTGAGGTATAGTAGACTTTTATTCAAACTAAATATTGTGCTTATTGCTAATTGAAAACAGCGTCTCCCAGAGCAACATCGACTATGTGACGGTAAACAAATCCGGCGAATGGCTGGCTTTTGGCTCCTCTAAGCATGGTCAACTGCTAGTATGGGAATGGCAGTCCGAGTCGTACATTTTGAAACAACAGGGTCATCTGGAGTCGATGGGCTCCCTAGTTTACTCCCCAGACGGCCAGAAGATCGTCACTACTTCCGACGACGGAAAAGTCAAGGTCTGGGACGTCAAGTCGGGCTTCTGTGTTGTGACATTTACGGAACACAGCAGCGCAGTTACTGCTTGCCAGTTCGCCAAGAAAGGAAGTGTCTTGTTCACAGCTTCGTTGGATGGTTCAGTGAGGGCGTGGGACCTCATCCGTTATCGCAATTTCCGAACCTTCACCGCACCGTCTCGATTGTCATTTTCTTCGCTTGCTGTCGACCCAAGTGGCGAAGTGGTCTGTGCCGGGTCTCCAGATTCGTTCGACATCCATATATGGTCTGTCCAGACCGGGCAACTGCTTGATCAACTCACTGGCCACGAAGGCCCCGTTTCCGCTCTTGCTTTTGCTGCAGACGGCAACCACCTCGTCAGTGGTAGTTGGGATCGTACAGTTCGCATATGGAGCATTTTCGGGCGGACACAGACCAGCGAGCCGTTGCAACTCGTGTCTGATGTTCTCAGCGTTGCTTTCAGGCCAGATGGCAAACAGGTGGCTGCATCATCGCTAGATGGTCAGTTGACTTTCTGGTCTGTGGCCGATGCAGTACAAGAAAGCGGGATTGATGGTCGTCATGACGTCTCAGGAGGTCGCAAGATGACTGATCGCCAAACCGCTGCAAACGCCGCGGGAACTAAATTCTTCAACTGCATTACATACAGCGCTGATGGAAGCTGTATTCTCGCTGGAGGCAACAGCAAGTACATTTGCCTGTACGACGTGAGGACGGGCTCATTGGTGAAGAAGTATACAGTTTCCGTCAATACCTCGCTTGACGGCACCCAGGAGATCTTGAACAGTCGCGACTTGACAGAAGCTGGTCCCAGAGGCCTGATCGATGAGACAGGCGAGGCATCGGATCGTGAAGACCGTATTGATCGCTCTCTCCCTGGCGCAAAGCGTGGGGACGCTGGAGCTCGTAACACTCGGCCGGAAGTACGCGTCACTTCCGTTAATTTCTCACCAACTGGGCGAGCATTTTGTGCGGCATCTACGGAGGGTCTTCTCATCTATAGCCTGGATACAGAATATGTTTTTGATCCATTTGATCTTGATATTTCGATCACCCCGACTAGCATTATGGAGACCCTTGAGAGTGCCAAGCAGGCATATACAACAGGCACGAGCGATAATGATGACACTTTCTTGAAAGCGCTAGTAATGGCGTTTCGGTTGAATGAGTCGAAGTTTATCCGCCTAGTCCATGAGGCAGTCCCTCCGTCCGAAATCTCTCATGTTGTCCGGGCCCTGCCAACCGTCTACCTTCCTCGTCTGCTGCGTTATGTTGCTCACGCTGCCGAGGAAACCCCACATCTAGAGTT